GAATGCAAACTATGAACGCGGCCTAACACAATCACTTGACAGCGGGATAAGCTCTCCTTTGACTGCCCTGCTCTACCAGTAATGATCGGCTAGTGATCGATTCAGGTAGGAAACTACAAATGGTGGAAGTTCTGCACCGGCAGAAGGATTTTAGTATTCCTCGGCGTCACTCGCTGCAATCTGCAAACACTGCATGCTTGTAATGGAGCGCAGATCTTAATAAACAATTGTGAATTTCATTGTATTCGCTTCAGACTCCAGCAGTGCTCTTCACTTTGGTTGGGCCTGGATCGTAATGACCTCACACCTAGACTTAGACCTCCACAAATTTTGGTCGCTATTTATTTAAGCTTCGCATTTTATTGGCGTCAAATGATCAGGAGATGAGCTGACCACCTAATCATTTAACAATCAAAATGCATTCCTAACTGCTAGATTGCTCTCTCAGATTCTGAGACTGCAATTATTGGCGTACTGTTGAGGTACGGCGGAATATTCTTTTGAAGGAATACCAGCGAGATGTCACTGTCGCGATAACATGGCAGATATTGCAGTTTATTGCGCGCGGTGTCGCGTGGTCCTACCGTCACACAACGAGGCTGAGCTCATCCGTCTTGGATTAAAACCTGACTGATTGCTACTATATCAAGTGTAATATTTGAAGGTCGAGATAGAAAAACGTGTTTGAATCGCTTTTTTAGATTTGGACTAAAAAGCGTGTTTGGATGTTATTGGCTCTCCAGTACATTATGTCGTTTGCTGCTTTTGTGCCCATGATCGGAACGAGACTGAACTATGGCCGCAATGAAGAAGGGAATGTTGTCTATAAGGGGATGGAGAAGCACCTTGACCTTGTAAGTACGCTATAAGCTCTTGAGAAATCAGAATAGCTGCTCCCCTGAAGAATATTGATGTTGGGAAGGTAAAACTTGTGAATCGCTCAATATTGCACGGTTTTCTTGAAAAATCGATTCAGGAAAAGGGAGGAACCCTAGGTTGAGGTTCAAGCTTTTCATAGTATGATAGCTGTGTTAGTTCTGAGCTCCGGTCGTTGATCGGAGCCTGAGACTCAGTAAAAATAACGGTCCCCTTTTTGAGTTCTGTATTGGTCCAAAAAAACACGCATGCAAGTGCTCACGCGATAATGTCATGCATGCCTCTGGGCTCGGGAAAAACTAGCATGTCTTCTTTAGCACTCCGTGTAAGATTCCAGAGTTCAGTAAGGACAAGCTGCCATTGATCGAAAAAATTGTTGAATTTGAATGGAAGTTTGCTTTCAGATCCTCAGGTGTATATTTGTCGGAACGTGCTTGATCTACGTAACAGTATGCGTCATTTTAAATATTAGACTGCTTGTTAGGTGGAAACAGTTGCCGAAGTTTGGCCCTAGTGTGAAGTATCCACGTCCTGAGAGGGTGGGAATATATAAATATACATGCGTATATATTGAGCTTTTGATGTCATTCAGTTCAGACCCATGTTCCCAGGGCTTGCTTAATTACACTACATCCAAATTCTGAACAGTCTAATATTTGAGTTATACCTGAGTTCTATGATGACCAACTTATGTGAGCTCCTTACAGCTATATATTCGCAAAGGCGGCGATCGCAGTGCTAGATTACGGACACTAGAAGACCGAGCCAGCTGGCAACCGGCTAATCTGAAATAGTTAAGAGTGGAGTCCACCCGATTCTCGTGTCAACTATGAGCTTTTGCCATAGAGAGGGCCGCACAGGAGTCTGTGCAGAATCGCATGAACGGAGACCAGAGATGCTCTTAAACGATTTTCGGTTCCGAAGACTCGTTAGAAAAAGGCAAGGGTAACGTGGGGCTGTGTGTGCTATTCTCGAGTGAGAAAGTACTTCATTGCATGTTAACATCGGTGCACGCAAACATGCTGCAAGAGCACGATTCTGGAAGATCTCTGGGGTCAATTTGCACTCGATGCATTAGATACAAAGTTACCAATTAACCCGGAGGGGTGGCGTGCGGAGATAAGGTAATGGCTGTATTCAAGTAAATCGAGAGCCGAGAGGTTACCGAGTCTGAAGAACACGCACAATATTGAAATCAATAAGTACTGCGTCCTCTGCTTTGCAAAAGAGTGATACTCCATTTGTGCGAAGTATGGAGAGTATGGGCATGCTGGAAAAGATGTTCATGGATTTCCGAATAGCGTATCGTGAGGTGCGCTGGTATTACTTCCATTGTAATTCTGAATCCGGACGCTAGATACGTGCGAGTCGAACAGTAATTGCGGACTGTCAAGTGAGATATGCGGCTCTCCACCCCACAAATGTTTGTAGTGTGACATGCCCGTCCATGAGCAAGAAACGGAATCCTTTTTCAAAAGGTGCGTCGAGTGCGTCACTTGTAATGTCGTCTCAGACCTATCTGTTTTATACGTATTTAAGGTGACAATGATTAAGGTAGACCTATACCGGCATCGCCAGTCAAATTGCCTTTCAATACACTGTCAAGTGTTTGTCGAATTTCGTCTAGATAGTGCACCTATCGTCGGCTGAGACCCAAATTTCTACCCGTCTCTGCTTGGATCATGTGCTGCAAATGAACGGTGTTTCCACGAAACTTTGTTGACCGACATTGTGTCACTACCCTGTGACTAAAATTTTCTCACGGCAAGTGGAGTGCAGTACAAACTGTGGAGAACTTCTTTATAATTCTAATGAAGTCTTTACCCAGATTCGTCGCAAACCTATAATTCCTTGGAACAGTTTACTTAGTACTGAACAAGGGTCCATGACACTTGAACAAGGGTTCTTATGTCTGCTTGAAGTTGGTTCAAGCAATCAAGAGGTGGAAATTTGAACCTTGTGAGTGTGCATTTATGTAGACACTCCGGGGAAGCGACCGCCGCAGAACCCATCCACATAAGAACTTCTCCGTTTAAGTGGTGGTGATGCTTAATAATGATGAGGAAGCTTTCTATGATCTTTGACGATTCTTCGCTTTTAGCATGAATCTCCGTGAAAAAAGGTAGCTTCATAAGCTCTCAGTAGGACTCAGTAGGGCTGTACGTTCGATGCTTGTCTGTGAGGTTGCACTTGGGGTCTTCGAATCATATAAACTATCGCAAGCATTCCCAAGAGAGATCGAATTTTTACTATATATAATACTTAGCAACCGGCCTTGTGCGGTATTAACTTTCTGAGAAGTAAATAAAAAGCGAGGCTGTCGAAAATGCTCAGTTTAGTCGACCTGACTCTCTATTTTGAGCATTTAGGTATCAATGGAAAGAGGGTCCAAGAAAACTGAGAAGACTATCGCATAAGGCAAGGAATTCTCTACAAAACAGTATAACTCAATGGCGAAATTTTATCTTCAGCGCGATATTTTAAATGAGAAAAAAAAGCCATCATTCATACACCCAATACATTAGCGACATACGGTTCACTACTCTGAACCTGCCAACTCTTCAAACTCTTAACACAACAGACATTTCGAATGAGGAACACAAACGTGTTTGAAAGACAACAGCTTGTTTGAGGAACTGACAAATCATCTTTTTCAGTATTACTGGCTAAACGACGTTATGATCAGTATACCGATGTTCTCCCTGCTGCTGCTCTCATCAGATCTTCGTCTGGAAATTTCCAACTTTGTCCGGGGAACAAGAAGTCAGAGCGTTGTCAGTGTCTCTTTTTCAGATCCTACACGTAGAAAGTCTGTACTCGAAAGATATTGAGTCAAGAATCTGTTTTCCTTCTTCTGTACACAGTACAGTATTGTGTCCGAAAGGTCAAGGCCGTCATGTGAGGTAGTAACGAAACCAGTGCTGGCAATCCAAGCACCTCGTGGTTGGTATATGCAGGGGGGGGGGCAGAAAAAGTCACTTTTTCGAGGCGCTATAAGTTACACTTTATTGAATTCTGATCGGACATTTTTACCACCATATTAAGAGCATATTAAATACTATCATGACACTCCGCCACAGCCTTCTGGACGAGCGCCATCGAGAGATTCTGGCACGCGACCGCGATGTGGTGCCTGAGATCAGCGAGATAGTCGATTTCTCCGCCACCGTAGACCACCTAAACTCCGCCCGAACCGGGTAATTGAGGGGATTCAGGTCAGGTGACCTACTTGGATATTCCATCTTCTTTAGGTACTCAGCCCCCTTCCATTCCAAGTAGGCGAGAGTTTCTCCAACGCCCTTCGATTCCATGTGGTGGCACCCAATGCTGTAGCAGTACAAAGTTTCCAAGAAGGTAGGGCGGCGACATGTGGGGAGGATATTCTTCTCGAGTTGCTCGATGTAACCGCCAGCGCTCACCTTCAGTCCGGGGTCCACGAAGAAAATATTGGTCTTTCCATTCCAGGTACGTCCGGTCCATACCATCAACCCGCGCCTTGGCGACTGTGGTGAAGATGATGTCCTAGACCGTGGCGACGTTGTCGGAGCTGCTCGATGTTGGAGGTCATCCAGATCGAGAGTACTGGTCTCCAGGTAGCTATCCATGGGTGACTCCATACTAGAAGTGAGCTGTTTGGAGGTGACATAAATTCCAGAAGTCTTCTCCAGTCAGGCTGCGACTGGAGATGACTTCATATTTTGGTGTACATGAAGGTGATGGGCGAGAGCCAGCTCCTGCTTATCGAGGAACATCTTGGGTATCTTCCGCCCTGGTACTCGTATCCACGTCTTCTGTCTGGGCTGCGAAAACTTTGCTGATATGTGACTCGGTCGAAGTGACTTTTTTTGCCCCCCCCCCCTGTATAACAGCATAGCACAGGTATTGCATACTGTCAGTGGTGTTAGACTCACAGTTAGGCTTATCAGGAGTGCATCACTAGCGGGGAATGATAGAGCAAATCTGCCGATCACTAGCAATCACTATGCTAAAAGAGAAGGGGGGACGCTTGGGAGCGCCTAGTTCACTCTGACCCTTTGCACACCGCCCAAACTGATTGCGACTTGCGAATGATCGAACTGTTATACATTACAGACTTGATCGAGCCCACAAACTAGGACAGCCCGGTTTTTTTAAACAATATTTTGTGTCGAAAAAAACAGTTCCAGTATAAACAATATAAAAATTTTTGTGAAAACTTTTGGATTCTTTTGAATCTTTTGAGTCTTTCGCAATAAATTTGGCGCCTCTTTTATGTGTTCAACATTCAGATTGCAATGAGGCTCCGGGACAGCACTATTTGAATATTTTGTGTCCTCTACTCTGCCACAAACCCACCCAAGCTGTGATATACTGGAGCCGACACTGGTTTCTTTACTGCCCTTGGCCTTCCAGAGAAGATAGAAGAACTGCGCATAGATCAAGAGAAGCGACTACATAAGATTCAAAACGCGACAAAACACATGGGGAACATGCGACTAGTGTTTCAAAGCGAAGGAAGCTTCCGTATTGAAGAGCTAGTTATCACACAAAAGAATGTGCCTGCGCCACAGGGGGCAGAGGATGATGAGACGAGAAGAGCACAAAACCCAGGCAGAATGAAGGATCGAGATTGAGCGCCGTCAAGACGTATGTACTTGTATTAGATCGGGCCGTGAGTCGCGCAGTATTGCTCTTTGGCGCCGTGCAAAAATGGTTTGCTTTTGTGCCATTCCAAAGGAGGAGGAACAATACACTGTACTGCGAAAAAAAAACGGTCAACTCGTCCGCATAACCTCAACATAGTGCTTTCGCTAGCAGTTTATATCCGTTTAGTACCAAGGTAAAGGTGAAAATACCTGTGTGGGCCGGACTTCAAGTTTTTCGATATTTCCAGTTGTTGGCCTGTTTTCTGAGCTGTTCCTTTTGTTTTTCCTTCTCCTCGATTTATCATGCCCTTGTAGAAAAACTTTCGGTGTAAAAAGCTGTGTGAATAACTTGAATTTTTTTTGCAAATAAATCAGTTGCTGCTCAAACTGTGCTTTTATTAAGCCTTGAAGACGGAGATGCTTCTGCATGCTTCTCTTGCACGGTTTACTGTGAGCATTTTAGATGGCACTTCTATATTTTTAAAAAGCATCAAGATTGCGATAACGCCGGTCCATAAGCACAGTTTGTCTATCTGTACGTTTGCGGAAACTTTGGAGATAAAAGGAATGGAAAGTAGGAAGGAAACTACGGCAGGAAAAAAAATAGAAATCATTTGGTGCCGCAGTAGCATTCGATGTGATAGTGCGATTGCGATAACGCCTCGCTCTGTAAGAAAAGAAGTCCATTAGATAGGCTGGTCAGTCCACGGATGATTGTGCGGGATACACACCCCAGCACCTGTTAGGAAAATAATAGCCTCACTCACCTGCTACACTCTATCGAATCATTCATCACACCAAGAAGAAGGGCCGCCCTAGAGTAGTATATAGTAGAAAAAAATACGGCCACGCACGAAGTGGTGCGAAACATCTCCACTCGTGTGAGTGACAACGTTCAAGCGACACCAGACCATACATCAGGCCAAAATTTCAGGGAATACTCCCATTTCACGCGTGAGTGGTTGTCACGGCCCCTTTGTGCTGAGGCAGACGCTACGCTGTTTGATGGCAAACTATCTGTTTCACTTGACAGTCGCTCAGTAGTAAATACTTGTATACAATTTTTATTTTGAGAAGGAATCCGTTGTTGTCACTATTATATACATCGATGAATCCAGCCGCCATATGGAACCACACGATGTCGAATCCAACCACCATAGGGCTACCAC